TTCTTCTAACGCCACTTCTTCAAAATAGACTCGCCCAGGCCGAAAACCGACTTCTGCGCATGGGCCACGAAGTTTCAATCGCACTGTACGTGCGCGCCCGCACGTGGTATTTTGTGGAAAAGAGCCACACAAGGGGCCAAAGAGCCGCATGTGGCTTGTAAGCCGCAGTTTGCCGACCACTAAGTTAGAAGATCTGATGGAATCTGAAATATGCAGACGGGACTTGGGATGAAGTGCAATGATGTGTTTAATTCAATGCTGGCTGGAAGAAAAAGCAACACTCGACATGACTTCACAGACAACATGTGCATGTGGTCAGTAAAGCTTCCTACTACACTGTGCTTCATGCCTGCATCCGCCCATCAAATCCCTCTCGAGCTCCCCAGGTACCAGGCATTATGCTCAGAACTGCATATTCAATGCTGATCAAAATTGTTCTTGACTTCCAAGAGCAAATAATAACATTTTGGAAACAAATTCCTGCTCTTATAACTCTCCTTTCCTCCAGTTGGCCTGCCCAGGAAATGCCAGCCTGGGAAAGGAGCAAAACCTGGAGACAAAGTCACCTGCCAATCGCACAATCAGGGTGATATGGCAGCATTAAAACATGTTGACCACTTCATTGACACTCTTCCCATCAAGAGGTTACTGTCTCTGTCCCCTCCCCTTGAATCTGGGCTGGCCTTAGCAACTCCTTATAACCAATGGAAACTCACAGAAGTGATGCTGTGAGACTTCCAAGGTTAGGTCAGAAAAAGGTATGGCCCTGGCCGGTTTGGCTCAGTGGATGGAGTGTCGGCCAGTGAACTGAAGGGTTCCGGGTTGATTCCAGTCAAGGGGAGGCCGTTGCAGGCTCCTCCCTGTTCTGACCCCTGGTCAGGGCACATACAGGAGGCAACCAACGGATGTGTTTCTCTCACATCAGTATTTCTGTCTTTCCCTCTCCCTTCCACTCTTTCTAAAAATCAATGGGAAAATATCTTCGGATGAGGATTAAAAAAAATTTTTTAAAGAAAGAAAATGATATGTAGCCTCCATCTTGCTGGCTGGGGCACTAGCTTTTGGAACCGTAAACCATCATATAAGGAGTCCAGTTCCCTGAGGCCCCATGGAGAAATCACAGTTCCGCATTCTAGTTGGCTGTCCTTATGCGAGTCCTCCCAGCCCCGGAGCCAGACATCGGAGCCAATCAGCCTTGGGATGATTCCAGCCTCAGCCTCACATTATCCCAGGCCTTCTTCATGGAGCGAAGGCAAGCCACCCCTACTAGGCCCTTTGTAAATTCCTGACCTAGAGAATCCATGAGTAGAAAAAATTGTTCACTCTCCTACGTTTGGGACAGTTTATGATACAGCAATAGTAACTGGCGCAGATGGCCATACGAAGGGCCATCAGGATTCTCTGCTGCTGCAGGTACTCTTCCCTGCCCTCATACTAAATCAGTGGTTCTCAACCTTCTGGCCCTTTAAATACAGTTCCTCATGTTGTGACCCAACCATAAAATTATTTTCGTTGCTACTTCATAACTGTAATGTTGCTACTGTGATGAATCGTCATGTAAATATCTGATATGCAGGATGGTCTTAGGCGACCCCTGTGAAAGGGTTGTTTGACTGCCAAAGGGGTCGCGACCCACAGGTTGAGAACCGCTGGCTTAGAGGATCCCAGGCTCTTGAACAGGAGAGCCTGAAATCACACCCTTTCCTTCCTCTGCCTGGATACCACTGAGAGACTCGGTATCAGTCACCATTTATCCCATACATCCATTCGTGGAAGGCAGCGAGTTGGGGACTTAAACACTCTTTCTGGCCAGCCCACCTCCTTAATATGTTGTTTATGAACACTGTCTCTGGGGTCAAATCCTGGCTCCATCACTTTCTAATTCTCTGGCCTTATATAACTCACTGAAACTCTCAAACTTTAATTTCTAACCTGTAAAATGGGATAACAGTACCTACCTCATAAGGTTCTTGTCAAGATCACAGTGAGGGAATTCATGTCAAGTGCCTAGTGTGTAGTAAATGCTCAATAAATTTTAGCTATTTTTAATATTATCTTTCCTGAGAAGAAGCATGTCTTGTGACTTACCCCTTGTAAGACTTGAAAGCTGTCATTGTTGGGTGGTGGGTCTTGATCCGGGTCAACACCAACTCTATAAGTCACCAGGGAGAAAGACAAGGAGAAAAACGGAGAGTATTAGCTTGGACCATGGCAGCCATTCTGGCTGAAAGTTGGCAAGAGGCTGACCATCTTCCCGAAGCAGAAGGAATGATTAGCTAAAAGAAGAGAAAGACTGTCATGCAAAAGTCATGAGAAAGAGGTTATACACATCAGATCCAAGGGATAGGAGGGGCCATACAGCCTGTGTGCTTACACCCTGAGCAAGGCCGCTGAGGAACAGCACCAGCTGGCAATGGTTGGTCAGCCTTCCTGTACCAGACTGTCCATCCTAAAAGTGTGGGTCCCACTGCACCAGGCTTTTCCTCTCCACTGCTTCCTCACATCTGCCCTGCCCTGCTTTTATTTTCCTAACCTTTTGTTATGAAACCTCTCATATGTCCAAGGAAGTGTTGAAAGAATTTATAGTGAAAACCTACATACCCACCACCTAAATCAGTGATGGTGGACCTTTTGAGCTCGGCATGTCAGCATTTTGAAAAACCCTAACTTAACTCTGGTGCCGTGTCACATATAGAAATTTTTTGATATTTGCAACCATAGGAAAACAAAGATTTATATTTTGATATTCATTTTATATATTTAAATGCCATTTAACAAAGAAAAATCAACCAAAAAATGAGTTCTCGTGTCACCTCTGACACGTGTGTCATAGGTTCGCCATCACTGACCTAGATTCTACCATTAACATTTTGCTATACTTTATTACATCTCCATCCATCTCTCTATCACCCATCTTATTTTTTGGATGAATTCAAATAAAGTCGCAGCCATCAGTAACTTCCTCTAAATACTTCAGCATGCATATATCTAACTTTTTTTATCCTGGTGCTGCCACGTCTTCCCACAGTAGGGATGACCTGTGAAGTCACATATTTGAGATCAACAAGTGTAGACAGAAAGCAAAGTGCCAAAATCCACTTATAGCAAATTCATAAAGGCACTATCTTAGCTTAGTAACATACCAACTGTTGCCCTGTGCATCTGGTAATTCTTTATCCCTGTGCCTTCCTGATTCTGACACAGAAGACATGGATAGCATGGAGCAATGAAGGAGAAAAAGATGCCAGGAAAATTCTCTATCCTCCCTCACTTCCTCCAGTATCACAAAGAACAGATGGCATTATAAAAGGTAAACAGAACACAGTTTTCAGCAGGTCTGATTGGAGCTTGAAGAGAGGTGATGAATGGCCTTGACCAGGGGTGTGATCTGCAGTCCAGTACCAGGGTGCTGACTCCAATGAGCAGGCCAGCAGATGCACAGAGCCCTGTGTATGCACGTCTTACTTTTCGTCCTCTCCTTCCCTCCTCCCCACCTGTGATGCCCAGCATATTTCTTGAGAAAAGAGACTAATGGAAAAGGGGAATAGAAGATAGCACAGATGCACCCCACCTGCAAAACCAACCTCTACTCTCTTACTCCAGGCTTGTTAAGCACTAACCCAAGGTGCATGCCCCTGGACAAGGCGGGGGGGGGGTAAGAGAAGAAAAAGAAGCAGTTACCCCATATTTTGCTGAAGGCAAAGCTTAAACCCACAAGATGAATCCATGGATTCAGCAAATATTTATTAAGTACCTACTATGCCAGGCACTGTTATAAGCATGTCCATAGTGTACCTAGAGTCAGATTTCCTCCCCATGGGCCTGAGGTTTGATGGACCTTTGTAGTGAATTAGATGGGCTTTGCTGTGTCTATAGGCTGCTTCTAGGCAGGAGTTTTTGAGGGATGGAGTCTTGTCCTCCCAACTGGACATTATCCAGGGATTCTGAGCAACAAATCTCACAGAGATTTTTTGATATGAAATCCACCTAATTCAGAGGTCCCAGGACTATCCACAAAAGTCACACCAGAGCATCAGTGCACCCAAAGTGTCTAAAGTATAAAAGTGGCAGAGGTCACCAATTAAATTTCTAGCTGTGATCCTGAACCCTCACCTGTTTGTTTGTTTGTTTGTTTGTTTTAATGCGTTTTTATTGATTTCAGAGAGGAAGGGAGAGGGAGAGAGAGAAAAACATCAGTAATGAGAGATAATCATTGATTGGCTGCTTCCTGCACACCTCCGTACTGGGGATTCAGCTCGCAACCAGGGCATGTGCTCTGACTTGGAATCGAACCTTGACCTCCTGGTTCATAGGTCAACGCTCAACCACTGAGACACACCAGCCGGGCTGAATTATCCTTATTTTCAATAAGCATGAGACAAATGTGGAAATCCCACACCAACTGAGAAAATAAGCAATCAAATGGATGTGTACATTCTGGAATGATTAAATACAAAAAAATGAATAATTGCTCTTCTGGTATAATATGTACATTCTGATTAACTGTCATAAAAAGGCTGTAACATTTCAGAAACTTTGGAACTTCTATAATTTAGAAGTTTAGAACTATCTGAGGTCCTAAATAATCTGAGGGATATTAGACACGCACCTTCATACAAAACCTTGAACAACAGATCAGAATCTGAATTCTCTCACATCCCAAGTGTAATAATTTGCACTTTCCACTTCCTTCTTAAAAGTGGAATATTTCAAAGGAGGGGGTTTCCTCTGCCAGTTAATCGGTATCTAAAGTCAGATCTCTGAAAATAAACCTGTGTGTGTATTTTAAACAGAAAAAAGTTCAAACCCAGGAAACTTAAACGTGTCAATTAACTGTATGAGTGTCATTACAGTATACATTCAGGGCCTAGTGATATCCCAAGATCCATGCACCATGGCAGCTATAGCTGCTTTCATCCCTGTGCTCAAAGAGTGAAATGCTTTCCCAATGCCAAGAACAGAGTTCAAGCCTATTTTGCATTTATATTATTGACCAGCACCCAAAATCAGACCAGGAAGAAAGCATGCTGGTTAAAGATGCAGAAGGGAAAGAACATTAAAGTCTTCATTCTGATTGTCCTATATCACCACCCTTAAGCATAATCAAATCAAAAACCTGGATGCACACTGAGCGACAAATTGCATTAGAAGAGACTTTAATTATCTTCCGGTTTAAAAACACCTGTTTTTTGTACCTTCTGATTCACCATGATAAAGCACAAGTACACAAAAACATACTTAGAAAACTAAAACAGTACTTAATTAAGATGGTGTGAGCCATACGCCAGCCATGGCTGAAATATAAAATTCTGGTTCTCTTTATAAGTTGGAAGCCTTATTTACTAGAAAATAAGCAGAATTGTGTGGGGGAAGTATGTGTTGCTCTACAAATGTGCTACTCTCAACACCAAGGCCAGTTGTACAAGGAGACACTCATCAGCACTGTTCAAAATGTAGGGTAAGGGGACACAATCTCGGGAACAGATACATCAACCAGCCAAGAGAAAGCGTGGAAAAATGATTAGACTTGACCTCCCCTCTTGCCCTTTTGCTAAAAGGAGCAAAGGGTTGGCACACACAAGAAGAAAGAGACAAATGGCATAAAGAGAAGCACCTCATGTTAGAAAGAGGTTAGAAAGAGGGGGAAAGCCAGGCCCAGTTAATTTGTTTCTGAGGATGCCCTTGTGTCACCTGAAGTAGTGCCACTTGAGTTCATTCTGGTCCTCTTCAAAGGGCTCCTCGACGCCAACTCTGGGCAGTAGAAGAAGGGAACATGAGTGTGACAGGGACAATAGGGGAGCCAGGGGTTCTGGGCACATGACCTGGACCGCGTCCATCAAAGAATAGACGGTCTCACTTTAAACATAAATCCATACCCTTTCTTATACTATCCCTGCTCTCTAAAACCTGGAGAGGCAGAGGGGCTGCTAAATTTACATTTAAAGCAACAATGTTAGGAGCAGGTCAAATGAGGATCAATTTAGAATGAAGATAAGCCTCTCAAAATATAATGAAATGAAATCAGAGGAATAAATGCAACTCAGCAAATGAATTTCTGCAATTTTTTCAGGAATTCATTTGTTTCATAAAGCAAGACACATCCATACAAAAATAAAAAACAAAGTTGTTACTAAACACATATTTGCAGCATTTACACATATTTGACAGAAAGAGCAAAAAGCCTGTATTATTGAAAACAGCAACAATACTTAAGACAGGATGGCCTTTTTTTCTAGTTAAGTATGTCACATTGTCCATGTGTTCAACCTGAAGGTCAGCAATCCAACTTCTGTTCTTCTCTTTACCTTGTGACCTTAGAACTGGCACGGTCCATTTTCACCTTCCTCAATAATTGCTGGCTCCTTCAGAGTGCATTTAAACTTCACCATTACATGAAGAGCAAGGTCTCATACACTTGGCACTATTGATATTTTGGGCGCTGGCCTCTACCCACCAGTAAGCACTGGGGTGGGTACCCCAGTGCAACCAAAAATGTCTCCTGACATTGTCAAATGTCCCCTAGGGGGAAAATTGCCCTCAGTTGAGAATTCTGAGCAACAAATCTCACAGAGATTTTTTGATATGAAATCCACCTAATTCAGAGGTCCCAGGACTATCCACAAAAGTCACACCAGAGCATCAGTGCACCCAAAGTGTCTAAAGTATAAAAGTGGCAGAGGTCACCAATTAAATTTCTAGCTGTGATCCTGAACCCTCACCTGTTTGTTTGTTTGTTTGTTTGTTTTAATGCGTTTTTATTGATTTCAGAGAGGAAGGGAGAGGGAGAGAGAGAAAAACATCAGTAATGAGAGATAATCATTGATTGGCTGCTTCCTGCACACCTCCGTACTGGGGATTCAGCTCGCAACCAGGGCATGTGCTCTGACTTGGAATCGAACCTTGACCTCCTGGTTCATAGGTCAACGCTCAACCACTGAGACACACCAGCCGGGCTGAATTATCCTTATTTTCAATAAGCATGAGACAAATGTGGAAATCCCACACCAACTGAGAAAATAAGCAATCAAATGGATGTGTACATTCTGGAATGATTAAATACAAAAAAATGAATAATTGCTCTTCTGGTATAATATGTACATTCTGATTAACTGTCATAAAAAGGCTGTAACATTTCAGAAACTTTGGAACTTCTATAATTTAGAAGTTTAGAACTATCTGAGGTCCTAAATAATCTGAGGGATATTAGACACGCACCTTCATACAAAACCTTGAACAACAGATCAGAATCTGAATTCTCTCACATCCCAAGTGTAATAATTTGCACTTTCCACTTCCTTCTTAAAAGTGGAATATTTCAAAGGAGGGGGTTTCCTCTGCCAGTTAATCGGTATCTAAAGTCAGATCTCTGAAAATAAACCTGTGTGTGTATTTTAAACAGAAAAAAGTTCAAACCCAGGAAACTTAAACGTGTCAATTAACTGTATGAGTGTCATTACAGTATACATTCAGGGCCTAGTGATATCCCAAGATCCATGCACCATGGCAGCTATAGCTGCTTTCATCCCTGTGCTCAAAGAGTGAAATGCTTTCCCAATGCCAAGAACAGAGTTCAAGCCTATTTTGCATTTATATTATTGACCAGCACCCAAAATCAGACCAGGAAGAAAGCATGCTGGTTAAAGATGCAGAAGGGAAAGAACATTAAAGTCTTCATTCTGATTGTCCTATATCACCACCCTTAAGCATAATCAAATCAAAAACCTGGATGCACACTGAGCGACAAATTGCATTAGAAGAGACTTTAATTATCTTCCGGTTTAAAAACACCTGTTTTTTGTACCTTCTGATTCACCATGATAAAGCACAAGTACACAAAAACATACTTAGAAAACTAAAACAGTACTTAATTAAGATGGTGTGAGCCATACGCCAGCCATGGCTGAAATATAAAATTCTGGTTCTCTTTATAAGTTGGAAGCCTTATTTACTAGAAAATAAGCAGAATTGTGTGGGGGAAGTATGTGTTGCTCTACAAATGTGCTACTCTCAACACCAAGGCCAGTTGTACAAGGAGACACTCATCAGCACTGTTCAAAATGTAGGGTAAGGGGACACAATCTCGGGAACAGATACATCAACCAGCCAAGAGAAAGCGTGGAAAAATGATTAGACTTGACCTCCCCTCTTGCCCTTTTGCTAAAAGGAGCAAAGGGTTGGCACACACAAGAAGAAAGAGACAAATGGCATAAAGAGAAGCACCTCATGTTAGAAAGAGGTTAGAAAGAGGGGGAAAGCCAGGCCCAGTTAATTTGTTTCTGAGGATGCCCTTGTGTCACCTGAAGTAGTGCCACTTGAGTTCATTCTGGTCCTCTTCAAAGGGCTCCTCGACGCCAACTCTGGGCAGTAGAAGAAGGGAACATGAGTGTGACAGGGACAATAGGGGAGCCAGGGGTTCTGGGCACATGACCTGGACCGCGTCCATCAAAGAATAGACGGTCTCACTTTAAACATAAATCCATACCCTTTCTTATACTATCCCTGCTCTCTAAAACCTGGAGAGGCAGAGGGGCTGCTAAATTTACATTTAAAGCAACAATGTTAGGAGCAGGTCAAATGAGGATCAATTTAGAATGAAGATAAGCCTCTCAAAATATAATGAAATGAAATCAGAGGAATAAATGCAACTCAGCAAATGAATTTCTGCAATTTTTTCAGGAATTCATTTGTTTCATAAAGCAAGACACATCCATACAAAAATAAAAAACAAAGTTGTTACTAAACACATATTTGCAGCATTTACACATATTTGACAGAAAGAGCAAAAAGCCTGTATTATTGAAAACAGCAACAATACTTAAGACAGGATGGCCTTTTTTTCTAGTTAAGTATGTCACATTGTCCATGTGTTCAACCTGAAGGTCAGCAATCCAACTTCTGTTCTTCTCTTTACCTTGTGACCTTAGAACTGGCACGGTCCATTTTCACCTTCCTCAATAATTGCTGGCTCCTTCAGAGTGCATTTAAACTTCACCATTACATGAAGAGCAAGGTCTCATACACTTGGCACTATTGATATTTTGGGCGCTGGCCTCTACCCACCAGTAAGCACTGGGGTGGGTACCCCAGTGCAACCAAAAATGTCTCCTGACATTGTCAAATGTCCCCTAGGGGGAAAATTGCCCTCAGTTGAGAAGCACTGCATTAAATCATGTATTCCCAATGGGGGGGGGGGATATTGACCCCAGGGGTGTGAAAATTGGTTCTTGTAGGACAAAAACATTTTTTTAGAGATTACAATGATTTGTACCATAGTACATAAATAAATATATACTAGATTTATGGTATTGAAATTTCTTAAAAAGAAAAGTAATGGTGGTACTAAAATCTTACTGTGGTATTAAAACTGAGGAAAACATTTTTAAAGGCTTCTTGGAGGGGCAATAATTTTAAAAAAAAGGTTGAGAAACGCTGTTCTAGACATGCCCAAATCCTCAAGCTACGAATCTCCCCTGAAATATGCAAGTGAGAAGGTGATGCTTCTTAAAGTGTTACTTTTAGTCACACATTCAGACTGTGACTTATCCGGACTCTATATATTACTACAGTATTAAAAAATACAAATTCCAGAAAAGCAAACTAGATTCCATTAATGTACGATCCACTTGTAATAATAACAGTAATCATAAGAAGTAGTGACACCATGATTAGTAATGATAAGAGCTAAAATATACTAAATGTTTACCATATGCCAGATGGCACAGTTAATGAAAAAAATTCTCTATCACATTTATTCATCACCACATTTTGTCCTCACACTATTGTCAACCCCATTTAACCAGCCAAGAAACTGAGTTAAATAAGTTGCCCAAGGTCACAAAGGTAGAAAATGGTGGAACCACGATTGCGATTGAGTCTGTTAGACGCCAGAGCCCCAGCTCTTCACCTTCCGGGACGCTGCCTTTGATTACAAGGTGTCATCTTGAAACTCCTTAAAAATATCCAGTTACAAATGCTATTACATAAAGAGCTCAGGGCTTCTCCCGGCCTTTATTCCTTAAGTCCCCTTACAAAGAGCTTTATCATAAATTCTGTCTAACAGGATTATAGGGGACAGGGCATCCTAACTTGTCCTTGAGTGATTGTATTACTACACGCTGAGGTAGGAGGGCTACCTGTTCATTTGACTGCGTGGATGTGCGCCATTCCACCCCCCACCATAACCACCACTTCATGTGCGTGTCACCTAAGCTGGGGGCTCTGAGAAGACAGCCACCATGCCGCCAAAATGCACTCAGGACACATGCAAGGTTTATCCGCTGAAATAATCCTGTGACCATTTTTTTAAGTTGCCAAAATTTTGTCCTTTGTGAATAGCAGCACTTGCGTAAGAGACTAAAACAAATATTATGTAGTTTGTACATTTACAGAAAACAATATGAGCATTTTGCCTTCATGTTCTAAAATATTAATCACAAAATACCAATTTTAAAAGATAAGTTGGATTTCTGGAAATCAGTGACCTGGCTTTGGGCTTGTGGTTATATTCATTCTTACTTTATTCACAGACTAGAAATTAGCCATGCTTTAAAATCACAGCTAACTCTTAATTATTTATAGTTGAACTCTGAGTCCTACCCTGGGCTTCTGACTTCTGGGCAGGGCCTCTGTCAGCAGCCAGAAGAAGTAAGAAATAAGCAGGTATTGATCTTACTGAGGTTACAGAGGTCAAAACACCATGCTGAATTTCAGGGGGTTTCTGAATCAATTTAGAATAAGAATCTGGTTTACTAGTATATAAATGATTGTGGCCACTAAGTAACATAATAAAGTCACAAGCCAGAAAAAAAAACAGTTTCATTTCCTTATTTTGGAGGGAATTTCTTTTTATGTAATCTCTGTAAATTCCAGTTTCTATACTTACAGTAAAATGACACTGTATTTTTCACCAATGACAAACTTTGCTTCATTATGTTGTCTGGGTAGAGTTGGACAAAAAGAAGGAAATAAAAAAAGATAGAAGCAGAAATTGAAAACAAAAACAATACAGAAAATCAATGAAATAAAAAGCTAATTCTTTGAAAAGATCAATAAAATTGACCAACTTCTAGCAAGACAAAGAAAAAAAGAGAGGAGATACAAATTACCAATATCAGGAATTACCAATTACCAAATTACCTATATCAGTGATATTAGGGAATAGCACTATAGATCTCATAGACATCAAAAGGATAATAAGGTAATGCTATGAACAACAATAAATGTAACAACTTAGATGAAACAGATCAATGTCACCAACTACCATAACTTGCCCAATCCTATATGATAAAAGCCTAATATGCTAAGTGTCCAGTCATCCAGTCGTCCATTCAATGAATCAAAGTGTAATATGCTAGCCCTAACCGGTTTGACTCAGTGGATAGAGCATCAGCTTGCTGACTGAAGGGTCCCAGGTTCGATTCTGGTCAAGGGCATGTACCTTGGTTGTGGGCACATTCCCAGGAGGGGGTGTGCAGGAGGCAGTTGATCGATGTTTCTCTCTCATCGATGTTTCAAACTCTCTATCCCTTTCCCTTCCTCTCTGTAAAAAATCAATAAAACATATATTTTTTTAAAAAAGTGTAATATGCTAATGATATGCTAAGGCCGCTCAACCACTCGCTATGACATCCACTAATCACTAGGGGGCAGAAGTCGACCGGCAGGTTAGCTTGCTGGGGTCTGGCTGATCAGGACTGAGCAAGATGGGCCGGATACGCCCTGGAGCCCTCCTGTGGTCCCTCCCCAGCTGGCCAACCTCCCATGTCCCTCGCCTGCCCCGGTTGTGCACTGGTGGGGTCTCTTGGCCTGGCCTGAGCCCTTTCGCATTCCAGGACCCCTCAGGGGATGTCTGAGAGCCAGTTTCGGCCTGACAGTGGAATGACCAGTCGCTATGACGCACACCTACCACCAGGGGGCAGATGCTCAACGCAGGAGCTGCCCCCTGGTGGTCAGTGCACTCCAACAGGGGGAGTGCTGCTCAGCCAGAAGCTGGGCTCACAGCTGGCAAGCGCAGCGGCAGTGGCGGGAGCCTCTCCTGC